TCTCCTTTGCAGGGAGCGCGTGCTGCCTGCACTTTCCCGCTGGGAGGGTCCAGGAACAGGCAGGGTGCGCCCACCAAAGCCTGTGCGGACCGGGAGGTGCGGGTCTCCAGCTAAGGAGTCCTGTTCACCATGAGTTCATTCGTTGGTCGATCCATTCCTTCGCTCCTCTTTGGGGCTCCCCCCACGTGCTGGGAACTGCTAAGGGTTCACTCTTTGCCCGGATTCCCGGCAACAAAATTAAACAGCCTTGACACATCAGAGCAAGGTTGAAATTTGCTGACACTGAAATCGCTGGAGGCGAATTGGGGATCAGGGCAGCTCCGGGACTCCTGGAAATAAAACGACACTTTCGCGCAGCAGAGGGAGACGGCGAGGTGGGGACTCGGACTCGCTGCGGCCACCTCCGCCCTGATGCTCCCGGGGCCACACTGCTCTCCCTGTGCCAGGAGACACGCACAGGTCCCAGCGCCCGCCCTGCAAAGCTGGACCCAGGGAGGGGGACCCAAGGACGCACAGAAAACTTCTGGCTCTGGCTCTTACGTCGACCGCTTGTCGGATGACTGTGGACAAGTCATTCAACCCAAAGATGAGGGGATGATGCCGCACCGAGCAAGACCTCTGCAGAGGAAAGTGCGAGAACGAGCTTGCTGCCGTCTGTATTCCGCACTCCTCCTGAGCCCCTTCTCTGGCTGCTCCCTGACGGTCTCCGTATAATGGACCCCTGTGTGTCCTTAGGCAGATGATGTGGGGCTTCCAAGTCCCCTGCTTCCAGTCACCACTGAATGGCTCCCCGCCCTGCTGTTCAGCTTCCTCCCCTGTTTACAATGCTAACCCCGCGATCAGATTGTTCCAGAGGCTTCCCTGAGACTATAAATAACCACAGGGACCACAACGATTGTGTGATTCGTTTATTCAATAAACACTTGTTGAGGCGCCTTCCCTATGCCAAGCTGGGTGCGAGAATTTCTCCAACCACCAGCAGAGCTCAGCCCTACAGAGGAAACCTTTCCTCAGTAAGGGGACAGTTGGTGTCCTGTTTCTGTTTGGGAGACTCTCCCCTCTACGCAATTAGTTAAGAACTTAATAGAACTCCTGACGGGCCATTTGTCCTGAGAGGATCTCAACTGCAGACATATATTTTTCCCTCCTTTGACCCCAGACACTTGTTGAAACTTCCCTCAAACCCAAAGTGTCAAAAAAAAGAAAGAAAGAAAGAAAAGAAAAGAAAAAGAAAACAACTCTGGTTTCTTCACCTTCCATCTCCCAAGGAAAACTTCCAACCACACGTGCAAGCACTGCATTGAGCACAAGGCACTGGACCCAGATGAAGACGTGCCAATGGGCATCTCGTGGGGTCAGTGGGACCATGTGGCAACCCCCCACCTCCATCCTTAAAGGGTTTCCCTGGGGACCCTGTTAATGCATCACATTCAGAAGCCTCCATCTAAGGATTTAAATTCTTAGAGAGTAAAAATTGTCTCGCATTTTGTTCTCCCTCACCCCCAACTGTGCATATGCTAACAAGGACCTCAGTGATACTGCAGTGAATAAATGAATGGATGAAGGAATACAATGACATCTAAGCCTATGGCACTGATTGTGTGTCACCCAAGGATCTCATTTCACCTTTGTTAATGCAATCAAGTCTCACAGTAACTTACAAGTAAGGTCACTTCGGTTAGTCCCTCTCACGCAGATGAGGAAACTAAAGCCATGTGGTTAGATCAATTTCCCAAGGCCACGAGATTAGTCATCGGTGAGTGAGCAGTCATTGGTGAGTGAACAAAAGCTTCCTAGGCTAGTGTAGGTTCCCCTAATGCAGGCTTGGGTCCAGCGCGCCCTTTCTGGTGCACTGAATTCACCGCAATCAGCCCTCTGCAAGTCTCTTCCCACACCTGGTCCCCAGAGAGAGTCTTTGGGGTCACCCAAGGGGAGCTCCGAGCATACAGCAGGTGGTGCAGGTATAATCGCTGCCACCTGTGCAGCCTCCTGTTCCTCCTCTGAGCGTGGTCAACTTTGCAAAAGGGGCGTCTCGGTCTGCCTCGCTGAAGACTGAGGCTGGGTCCAAGGGCAGAGGGAGAGAGAAGCCAGCACAGCTGCTGCCCCACGGGCACCATCAGGACTTGCACCCGAATCCCAAGTGTCAGCAACGAGCAAGGAAATGGAAAAAGCACAGAGGATAACACTGAGTCCTATGAGCAGGTGTTGCCTGAACCCAGAACTCTTAGCAAAGCTAAACCTGCTACAGAGGAGGAGGCAGCACAGCCTGAAGGGCGAGTGATAACTGGAGGAAGATTCAGGCCAGGACTCCTGCCTGGAGGGACACTCCTCAGGGGCCAGGACGGAGGACGGAGGCAGGCCAGCAGAAGCCTCTTATGCTCTTTTTAAAAAGCCATAGAGCTTTGTTTGGATCAGAATTCGGTTGGTCAAACGGGTACTGGTAGAACCTTGGAAGACACTAAACCCACAGCTCATGCGAGTCCTGGCACTCACTCCCCAGGGGACCTTGAGCGAGTGTGTAGACTGCCAGCCCCGACTGCTCAACCCAGACGTGAAGGAGGAAGCCATCACCCCTGCTGGGACATCTAGCCTTCCTTCCTAACTTGACAGAGGGCAGGACAGCTGAGGGACCCAAGATCTAGTAATTCTCCAAGCTTGCCTGTCTGAGGGGCCCCAAGGCCCTGGGCCAGTCCAGGCAGAGCCTTGCTCGGGTAGAACCCGGGAGCGTGTGTGGCACCGGGGAGTTTCTTAGTAAGTGCAGCCACCCTGTGCAAGCAGTCAGGATTTGCAAAGTGCAGGCAATACAGGGGGTGCCCGCTGCAGTTTTTAATATTCGCATGCATCAGGAGAAGGTGCAGAGAAGGCTGCCTGTTTGTCTTTGGACACCTGCCAATCCCATTACAACCTCCCAGGTGTGGCTGTGAGCCAGAGGTGGGTGTGAGCAGTTAAATCTGGGTATATCTCCCCCAGCCCCAACACCTGCAGTTAAAGGCCTCCCTAACACCAGTATTTGCATTTTCACAAAGGCCAGGGAGCATGCAACCCCTAACCCAGAGTCCCAAGAAGGGGGAATGAAACACCCGTGCATGTTTCGGGTCCCCTTGGCCATCTTCGAATTAGCGTGACCTGGTTGTGTGGCGATGATCCCTCTGCCGGCTTACTCTTGTTAAAGGAAGACAAAGCTCCTTAAAGGAGGGGGGACAGGGGTCGCAAACTGAAGGAGGGTGCCTTGACTTCAGCCTCTGGCTGTCTTCCTGGATTCTTGCTCTAGAGCCACCCCAGGTCCAACCTGCACACAGTGTCTGTTTGAGGTCACAAGGGCTTGGGAGGAGGTCCGGTCGCATCCAGGAACAGGTTAAAACTCTAAAACGCCCCCAGAAAATCCCCCGCTGCGGGTCCTGGTTCCTGCCAGGCCCCGGGAACCCCAAAGCTTCCAGAAGCTGAGGCTGTGCCCGTGTGCTTGGGCAGGGGACGCTAGGGTCACCTTCCAGTGGTAATGGCTTCCAGTACCTAGAACGGAGGGACCATGCGAGGGACCGTGGACCAGGCACACTCTAAACTCACTTGCTCCGTTCTGATCTTAAAGGATGGGAAAACCCTTGCCAACACCCCACTTCAGACCCTAGCTAGAAGGAGCGGCCACAAGAAAGCCCCCAGGACACCACTGGTCCCGTCTGAGGGGGCTGAAGGAGTCAGGATTTGTGACAATCTAGCTGCCCGCCTCCGGCCTCCGCAACCATACACCCGACCAGTTGCGGGATAGGGGTGGGGGTGGAGGATAAGGGGCGATCTTCTAGGCCAGCTTTGGGGCCACAGGCTCCCTTGGAGGCAACACTTCCCCTTAAGTTCCGAAGGGCAGACAGCTTTGGCCTCCATGGAGACAGGACAGCGACCAAAGGAGTGCAGGGACTGAGGTCCCTACCGCTCTCGGCTGCAGCGGGCACGCGGAGGGGCGTGCGCCCCGGCTTCGGGGATTTGGTCCACGCAGCTTGGCGCAAGGGAACTTCCAGAGACAAGCTCCCCACCCGTGCACACAGGCTGGGAAGGCTCCTCACTTCGCTTTGCTATGTGGAGAACCGGGAGCTTTATTTGCGTGGTTTATCCATAAGGAGCTGAAAATCGCCAGCTGACGGGCTCTCACGAGTCTGAGACGGCGTTCCGTGTGCCTCAGTATGTGCGTTTGTGTTTGGTGTACGTGTGACTGTGGTGTGTGTGTGTGTGTGCGCGCGCGCGCGCGCACCCGATGAGGGGGTATCAGACGCCCCCACCTCGCCCTCCCCAGAGAGACGCGCTGGTGGCGGTCCCTCCAACTGCGTGCTGGTAACCTTGCTCCCAGGGCTTGGCGCCACGCAGGCTGCCGCTGCTGGCGAGGCAGAGTCCTGTAAGTCGTTACTGCTTTTAGGAGAGGGCTCCGCCTGCGGGGCAGGGGACGCGGCAGGGGACGGGGCAGGGGACGCGGCGGGGCCCGTGCGCACCGGCCCCTCGGAGCCCCGGCCCCGCGCGCTGCGGCGTCCTGGCGCCCGCGGCCCCTCCGCGCCCAGCCTGCCGGTCCGTGCCCTGCCCGTCCGTGCCGGGATGGTTCTTAGTTCAAGAATTTCTGGCTTTCCCAGCCGCTCCTACTAGCGTCGAGCGCCCCGGGAAGCTTCCCGCAGTCGGGGATGGGGCGACCTGCCCCGAAAGGCTGCTTCCCGCCCCGCCACCACGCCCGCCTGGACTTCTAACAGTGAACCTGCAACTCCGCTAGGTCTTGTGATTCTCGGTCCCGGGGAAAATGCGGGAGAACTCGCTGCCTAGGATAAAGCCCCGCTGGAGTTTCACTGGAGAGCGTTCAGGAACGAAAGCGGGCGGTGGTGGAGGAAGGGGTGCCTCCTACGAGCCCTCCAGGAGCACCCAGCCCCCACCCCAAGGGACCCGCCCAGCTCACCGCTCCCTCTGGTCTGGTTGAACCCGGCCGAGATGAGGCCTGACTTTACCTGAAATCACCTCTTTACACTCCCTGTACGATGACTTCCTTCACTTCGTAAAACTGGGCCCAGGCAGAGAGACGCGGCGGGGTCTGGGGGGGCAGCAGGCACCGCACAAGGGCGGGTAGCTGGCGTGAGTATGAAGCACCAACCTTCCCCATCTCCCCTCCCCAGCCTGGCTCCTCAACCAGGTGTATATCCTGCCACGTGATTCTCCTTAACGCCAGAAATGGATTCAAGTGCCTCTTAATTGTAATTCCATGTTCTTGGGCAGACCTGATTCCAGAATTCCGGCATTTGGGAGGAAACGGATTTCGGTAATAAAGGCAAAATTGGGGTACAGAGAGAATGCTGCAATTCAAGTAGCAGAACCTGTGGACAGAATAAAGGAAGCACCCCAGCCTGGGGCTGGAACCCCCCGGGCAGGTGGGGAGGCTGCCCACCCATCTTGTGGCACATTTAGGGACAACAGCTGGCTCACATTCCCCTTTAACTAGAGATCCCTCCTGGGGCCTCAACCTTTCCTTTCTTTTTCCTTTGTTGGACCACCCCGGTCTTCCCTCTCCCCTCCCCACTCTGGCACATTCCTTAAGGGTTCAGCTTGGTAGGTGAGGGGTTGACTGGTGTAGGAAATGGTCAGTCTGGCATCCCTGGGCTGGGCTGTGGAACTTGCCCAGGTGTCTGTTGTACCAGACCAGAGCAGACAAAATCGGAGGCATCTATTCGGCCCCTGGGCCCATAAATCTGGAAGGAAGATTTTTTAATGTGCTCGAGCAAATGGATCAAAGTGAAGAAGCTGAGCCAGACCAGGGAGCCTTCCCACTCTGGCCGGGGGACAAGGGTGGTCCTAGGCTCGCTGACCTCAGTGTCCCCACCGGAGAACCACTCTCCGTGAGAACCAGCTCCACAAAATGGATGGTCGGCCCGTAATAGGCCTTCTGCCCGGCCCACCGCTCAGTGCCAAATAGACCCTGGTGATCAGGTTCGGCCGCAACAACTGTTTGTTTTAAAATCTCCCCGAAGAACCTTTTGCAAACTCCAGACATTTTGTAGTTTCGAGGGAAGGTGAGCCAGGGTAGGACTCTTCAGCCTTTCAAAAACAAAAAACAAAAAACAAACTTTCAATGGCCCACTCCAGTGGCAGCAGCGTGCAGGTAAAATGGGTTTGCTGTACTCCAGCTGCAGTGTGATGGGGACGGGGACGCTGCCTCACCTCCTGGCAGCGGGGTTGAACTCAATCAGACACCTGCAATAGCCCAGTTATGAAGAGTGAGTGTGTGTGTGTGTGTATTAGGGTGGGGGCAGTTTTGTAGACCCATCACGGGCCAAATGTGAGCCAGCAGGTCGGAGTTCTGATCTGGGGCTCTGCCTCAGAGTGACCTTGAATAAGACACCTCCCTGCCATGCAATTGTCTGGGCATCTTTAAAGCCACCCCAGGCCTAGCCTTCCAGCCCGAACCAGCGGTCTGCCTGTCCTTTCCACCAGGACAGGACAGATCATGCCTGAGCAAGGGGCCGACTGTACTGAAATGGTTGCACAGCTTCACACCAGGCACCGGCAGCCACCTTGGGAGCATACGCTGTGGCCAGATGGACCCTGCCAGGCACTACCATCTTCTCCATCCCAACTCTGCATCTGTGGAAAGCCTGCGGGCACAGGAATCCCGACTCTCCTGGGGAAGCCATCTGCCCCTAACAGATTCTGTGGCCACCCCAGCTCCCAGGCCCCACTCAGGGTCACGGAGCACGAGTTCAGCGGCCATTGGCGGGCTTCGGGCCATGACACCTCTGAACTGGTGGAACCTGGAACCGCTCAGCCCCAACCCTGATCTCTGCAGCAAGGCGGTTCTGAGGTTGTAGCACTTACTCAAAAGCTCTAGTCCCCGCCTCCAGCCGCGGTGACCTGCAGTGCCCTGGGGCTAAGGTCCAGCACGGAGATCCCTGACCTTACTGACCGCATAGCCCCAGCCAGCCAAGCAGCCTTTCTTTACAAACTGTAGTAAACATTTTATTTACAAGTTTGTGGCACCCTAAGTGCAGCACGCGTTTGCCACGCCTAGAGCTGGAAGGAACTGTGGAGTCACACTTTACAGTGTGAGCTGCTTGTATCCAGGCAGAAGTGTCCGTGGGGCACCGAGACTCCCCAGACCACTGCGCAGTGGGGGCTGTACCAGGCGGCCAAGGAGGCTCCGCCGCTGCATCTCTGGTTCTGTCATTGCCACCACCATAAAATAGGCACACGATCCAGCCACGCAGGAAGGCTGGGCGTCTGCACGCAGGGCCCGGGTGCCCTCCGCCCTGGTCCAGTCTATAGGCCTCCGAGAGGCTGCTGGGCGGGCTCAGGGCTCTTGGGAGCGCTGCTGAGGGCTGGCTGGGGCGCAGGGAGCAACTCCGGGGCAACCCCGCTGCTGCCGCCGCCAAGGCTGCTGGCAATCCCGATCCCCGTGCTGGTGCCGGTGCTGCCCAGGCCGCTGAAGCTGTAAGTGCCGCTGCCCCCGCTGCCGCCGCCGTTCCCGCCGCTGCTGGCGGGGAGGAGCGCACCGGCGACCGAAGCCTTGATGACTGTGGTTTGGTGTGGAGACCGCTCAGCCCCCTCAGTCCGCTCTGTGTCACTGGGGGCCATGTCCAGAGACTCAGAGTCGCTGCTATCACTCTCGGCCTCGCCCTCCGAGCGGCTGGGGCTCTGCTCATCCTGCTCGCCGTCTGCAGCCGGGCCTCCGCCTGTGGGCTTCTCGTCCGCCTCCTTGTCTTTGTCCTTCTGGGCCTGGGCCTCCTTGGAGTGCCGCCACTTCATCCGCCGGTTCTGGAACCACACCTTCACCTGCGCAGCACGGAGACAAGAAAGGAAACCGAGATGAGCATGCACCCCCAAAGGCTGGAAAGCAGCGCTCATGGTCCCCAGCACCTCAGGGACAGGCCAGGCACTGTGCTCGTTGCAGGGGCCCGAGACTGCTCAGGGAAACAATGAGATCGCCAGGGATCTGCGCCTAAAAGACACCCGAGGCCTGTTTCTCAAAACGTGGCCTCCAGACCTCCAGCCTGAAATGACAGGGATTCGTGCTGGAGGGGCAGATGCTTCCACCTCTCCTGCAAACGAGGGAGGATCTCGACTCTAAATCTAAGCTTCCTTAACCCCACCTGAGTCAGGACCCTCCCAAGACTCTGACTGAGCCCTGGCCCAGAAAAATACACACATTCCCAAGATTTTGCACACAGTTTCAAGGGTTTGCTTAACCAATGTTAAGAATTCCTGCTAAGTTGGCCCCCTCCTGTAACACCACTATCGAAGGCAAGTTCCTACAGAAGCAGTTCTTTTTAGGGAGGAACATAGGAAGCACAGAGGGGAAAGGGGGTTCAAAGAGTTAATCCCAGTGGGGTGCGGGCACCACTGGCCCTTCAGTGGAAGAGGATTTCCTGGGCATGTGTACACGCAGAAGCTGATAAGGACCCAGCCCCTGCCCAGGATAAGCTAATCCTACCATGGGCTTAGAAAACGCTGGAATTAAACCTGTGTATAGTGGAGGAAGGGAGTAGGGATGGGTCGAGGAATCTATATAAATATATACGATCCCCTGGGGGACCCAATGCGTTCACACAAGTTCCAGCTTCCCTTTTAAAAATAACATCCACAGCTGGTGGAAAACGGCTGGGCTCTTCCAGTGTGTGTTGGGGAGGGGAGTTGGGCAATGGAGGACAGAAAGACACACAGATGGGGGTGGTGCACCTAAAGGACCCATAAAAAAAAAGTGCCTGCCTTTGGCTTCTGCCCCTCAGAACATTTGGTACCCAGGGAGCAAGGGCCACGGCTGTGGGTTGTGACAGAATGGTGACTCTTCTAGTTTCAAAACTCAAAAAGAAAAAGAAAAAAAAAAGGTCCAGTTCTTGATTTCGAGAAAAGGGAAAAAAATGAATTCAGACATTGAGGTCAAGCATGATAGATTTGCTCTTTTCTTGAAAATATTCAGAACCTGCTGAAATGCTCCTAAGCATACAGAGAAATATTTTTTTCTTTCCTTCCCCTGCTCCCCCCACCTGAGATTTTTCTTCAGAGCTTATGCCGTTAGGAAATCTGACTGTGGCCACTCCAAGTGCATTTCTTGCCCTACCGAGGCTAAGTAATTCCGTTTGAAATGATGTTTTCACTTCCTCACAACTGGGGATTTCACAATCCAGCAGCAGCAGGAGGAGGAGGGAGGGAGGGAGGATGGAAGAAAAAAAAAAGCCAACAACAATCTCTTGACGTTGGACTTTTATCTTTTCTGAAATAAAGTGCTTCCTACAGCGAATTGCACTGGAGTCCAGTACATAATTATTATCTCCCACAGCCTATTTGCTTTCTCAGCGGTTCTTTTGCCTGTTGGCCAAAATAAACAGACACTGCTTGCGGACACACATCTTTGGGGATGGGCTATGCCTTCTGTCTTTCTCCACACTTCTCTCTCCTGCCTCAAGTTGGGAAGTCCACAAAGTCTCCCGAAATTCAAGACCTTGTGTTTCCACCGCAGGGGAGTGGGGCCTTGGGACCGGCATGCACCAGCTGGCCACCGGAGGGGCCGTGCGTTGGAGCGGGAGCTGGCTTACCTGTGCATCAGTGAGGCCCAGCATCGCTGCCAGCTGCTTCCGGTCAGGCTTGGTCACATACTTCTGAATCTCAAACCTTTTCTCCAGGCCTTTCCTCTGCAGGTTGGAGAAGACCGCCCGGGACCATGAGCGCTTCCTCTTGTAGGTCTGGGGCATAGTGTCCTTGGTGAGCACAGCATAGGGACCTGAGAAAGGGGGAGGGAGACACAGGAGGACCAAATTAGTGCCCTGGGCCTGGGGCTCCCAGTATTGCTTAAAACTGATTTGCTCGGGCCCTATCCGCATTCACAAAGCCTTCCTCCTAGGAGGAATTTTACAGCGTTGGAGGAGGTCATGGAAAGGCCTACAGTTTCTGCACAGTGAGCTGAGAAGCCCAGCGTTATGTCCATTAATTCCAAAGGGAAAATGTAAACCTGATATTTGGCCATCAGGCATACAAAGTGTAGGCGAAAATGTCCCTCGGGCCTGAAGGATCTAAAGATGTCAGCCTGGGTTCTCATTCTCTCTCTCTCTCTCCCTCTCTCTCTTTTTTTTCTCTCTCTCTCTCTCCTCTCTCCTCTCTCTCTCTCACTTATGTGCCCACGAGAGCGCAGCGCAGATGCAATGTCCTGGAGCAAAAGAGTTTGAGGTCATTTAAAAATGTGTGTATGATAATAAGCAACATCTCTTGCAGCTGCATTTTCAAAGCACTCTCTCCCGAGAAAAGACTAGGGAAAGCCCCCCACCCACCCACCCACGAACACACTTTCTTGGTTCCCCAGGCTCCCACCCCTTTCCTGCGGCAGCAGACGCGAGAGCCAGCTCACGGAGAAATCTTTCGGTTTCTCTCTCCCGACGCGGTGGCCTCCCGCACCAATTCTGGGATTGCCACACCGCTGTCGCCACGTGAGGCGTCAGTCCTGAGTTTTCTGTCGGCGGACTTGCCCGTTCCGTACCTGGAAATGTGTCTTGAAACTGATGTTGCACTGAATTTCTCGGGTTCGAGCTTAAGGGACTGAGGATGGCAGAAGCCTCGTTAATAGGATCTAGAGACGCGAATAACTGGCCGGCGGAGGGCTGCAGGCCGGGAAGATGCAGCCCGGCGGGCCGCGCGCCGGTTAGCAGGGACGTGAGATCTGGGGACCAGGCAAAAGAAGAGCTTAGTTACACTTCAGAGCAAACCCATATTCTTTGGGCCGATTTTTGTTCCTCCCTTCCCCCCCCCCCGCGCCCTCGATCTGGTTTTCCTGGAGCAAAGTCAAGGGAGACCCCTGTCTCCACCCAAATCCCCTCTCTCCCGACGGCGGCCAAGGAAGGATACACGAAATGTCCCATATGTCCACGTCCACGCTGTTATGGCAGGGAAGGCTTTACGTAAAACCGCCAAAACGACGTCACTTTCAGGTGCCTTTGGAGAATTCCAGACTTACACCCTTGGCCGGAAGGAGCCCTACTCTGCTCTCTGGGGAGTTGAGAGTCGATTTGTTTCGCTACATTCCTTGAGTGGAATTTCACTCTAAACCAGATAAATGGAGGGGAAAGTGTTCCCCAAAAAGGCTTTCTCTGTAGATATGTGTGATTAAAGACGGACAAGTGATAATCATTTTAGCAAATGTTTACACCAACCATTTTTATGAATACTGATTCTGTGAGGTGTGCTTTTAAAGCATTCCTGGGGTCTTTTTGTTTGTTTGTTTGTTTACATAGCGCAGGTGAGTTTTAAACCCTGGTGTTTCATATTCTTCTCACAATTGATTTTCTTCTCCCTCCTTTTAATAATTTGTCTTTAACTGTAAAAACACCCAAACTGGCCCCGGGACCGAGGGTGCATCAGGGCCCTAGTTAGAGGCCTGCAGCCTCTGGCTCAAGACCTACCTCTCAGCGTGTTGCCTTCCTTGACTTTCGGGTCAAATTCTGCAGACAAAATGCGGTCAATTCCAAATTTGAGGTCCTTGCTGGAGGGGGCTGGGGCCGAGCCGCTATGGTGGGGGTTCGGGACCACCCGCGCCCCGGAGGCCGGGGACTGCAAGGCGCCTGCCCGGGGTGGAGGCGGAGGCTGCTGCTGCTGGGGTTGTTGCTGCTGCTGTTGCTGCTGTGGGTGATGGTGGTGGTAGGCGGCTGAGAGCGGAGACAGCCGCTGCGGGAAGCCAGCCGGGACTTCGGAGGGCGCCACCACCGGGGTGGGTCGAAGCGGGGATCTGGCGGCAGCTTGGAAAGAGGCGTGCGGGTGAGCCGAGCTCAAGTGCGCCGTGAGGGCGGCGGCCGAGGCCCCCGCCAGGCCCTCCGCGGCGGCCCCCGTTTCCCCCACGCCGGCGTGCAGGATGTCTGCGATGCAGAAGGAGGGTTTCTTGACCGCGGCGGGGTCTAGAGGGAAGGAGCAGCCGCCGGGGCCGGCCGAAGAGCAGTAAGCGGCCGACCAGAGGCTGAAGTTGGAGGCGTAGAAGGGAGCCAGCCCGGCGGCGAACATCCTGGCGGGTGCGCCTCCTGGCCGCCGCGGCCTGGCCGGCCGGGTGGATGGGTGGGTGGGTGTGCGGGGAGGGGCGCGCTGAGTCCAGGAGTAGGCGGCAGCCCAGCTGAGGACGATCCGCTTTCGGTTCTCTGTCCGCTCTGACGAGAGGCCAGGGAGCCCTAGCGCCGAGGGAGGAGGCGAGGGTCGGATCCCGGCCGGTCACAGTTGGCCCCGGTCACTTTGAAGGCGGTGCGAGACCCGGGTCCCCACGGGCTGGAGGCGAGCGGGGGGCGCTGGAGCGGCTGGCCGGCGGGCGCCGCGGCTCCACACACGCAAGGGAAGCCGGGGAGACGGGGGCCGGGCACCGAAAGAAAACCCAAACAGCTAACCCCTAAGAGCTAAATTTAAAACAACAACAATAATAATCCGTTAGTTTAAAAAAAAAAAAAAAGTAATAAGAGGGGAAAAAAAAAAAAAAAACTTCTCTCTAAAAACTCCCAAAGTTTTGGCAGGAGCTTTCGAGCCAGACCCAGGGTAGGACCTCTATCTGATTGCTCATTGGCTAGCCTCATGGCCAATGGGAGTGGGGAGTGGAGGGGAATTGGCAAAGAGGGGCGTGGCCGAGGGGAGGGCCACGCCCCGGCCACGCCAAAGTGTTTGCCGCTGCCGCGTGGGCCGAACGGGGTCCGGAGCGCCCTTCTCCGCGGTCCTGGGAACTCTGCCACTCCTGTGACTTCTGCAGCGCCGAACCGGCACCGGGCGTGGAGGGTTGGTCCCAGGGACCGTGGAGCACTCTCCTGGGGAAACTGATAGTCCCGCACAAGGATCGCGGTGCACAGCCCGCCTCCGGGAACGCGCTGGGGGTCCCCTACGTGTCCTCTTTACGTACTGCCGGCCCTATTTTTATTCAAATCGGGCCTTTTTCCCGAAAACCGGTGTCCTCCGCCAGGCTCCGTCTTCCGCGCCCCACACTCCCTAAGCCCGAGCTCTCGCGCAGGAATGCTGGGGCCTTGGGGCCCCGCCCAACTTAGCACCGCGGCGGCCTCGCGGCCTCCGAAGTCCTCGGGGGAGAGGGGGGGGCGGTCGTAAATTAACTTTATTCTGAGCTGTCACACGGTGACAACTTGAACGAGTAACTTTTCAAACAAAATAAGATGAATGTCTCCCAACGTCTGCCTTGGACCCAGCCAAACTTTCCCTCAAGCCTCAGAGACAACAAAACAGGCCGCGGACCGAAACCCGGGGAGAGCGGCACGCGCGTCCCGCCTCGGCTGCACCTTGTAGGAAATGTCACCCTCCCTCCGACGCCACATCCCCGGATCACGTGGGCTTCGTTGTTTTGCGAGTGCCCACAAGAGTAGATTTCCTTGGGGTTAAAGACAACTTTCAATTCATCCACTGCTCCCCTGGGAACTCCTTAGGCCTAGTAGCCGGAGACACAGCAGGGCCCGCCAACTCGTTCCTTTCGGACTTCGGGTCTTTGGAGCCCCGGGTGGGTGGGGTGGGGGGGCTTCTGCAACACCAACATCTTTATTTTAAGAATTCGTTCTCTTTTAAATTATAGTCAGAATGGATTTCCCCACCCCTCTCCCAAACAAACCACAGGCCACCCAGATGAGCTCTTCTTGCACATTTTCAGGAAGAAAATAAAATAATAACAATAATGAAACCACAAAATCTTTTGTTTTCGATTGTACTAAGAAGCATCTCTTAACAGAGCAGCTGTGCTTCTGTGGTGTTTTTTGTTTGTTGATTTTTTCCCCCAAAAAAACTGTCAATATCGTTGCAAGAAAGCTTCTGTGGCATTTTTAATTTCACTTTAATACTAAGGCTTCTTACTAAATAAACCCAGGAAGGCTACTGAACTTGCCTCGCCTATCTCGAGTTTAGGATTTGGGGGCTAATTAAATTAATTTCTAGAGGTTTCTAGCCCCTTGTTGCAGATGTTGTCATTTTAAGCTTTGACTTTCTCCTGGAAAGTAATCAATCACTTCGGACCAGCCAGCACTAACACCCCTGCCCCTGACTGTCTCTTTCTCCCTCTCTCTGTTACTAACGGGTTTTCTTGCCCAGCTCCTTGCAGCCAGGACACAGGTGGTATTTCCAGCGCTGCAGTGGAGGGATGTGATGGGCAGAGGGCCCTTGGGGCAAGAGAAACAGGAAGACAAGTCCTTCTGTTTCCAGCCAGAGGAGGAGTGACAAGCATAAGGCCACCTTAGACGTTGGACCCTCCTTGCAAGGTTCCAGTCGAGGCGATGCAAGCAGAGGCTGAGGATTCTGGCGAAAGTCCGGTGGGTGGGAGGGCGCTACCTCTGCAGCTTCACAGATCTCAGGGGAGTGTCTAGCTCGAGAGTGTGTCGCTGTTTTCTAGGGTCACTTCTGATTCTGTTGCAATTCCAATTTGACTGCCAACATTTGAACCGCGGCCTACGCCCAAACTCATGAATTCTACGTGATGCATTTAGGACCTACCCCAGGCCGCCTGCTCCCAAAAAAGACGGGACCCTTGGGGTGGGAGCAGGGTTCAGACTGGGCGAAATGCGAGCTCTCCGGGTTTTCCCCGGTGCCCACGACCGGCATCCGCAGCACTTCAAGGCCAGGTACACAGGACAGGAGGGGCAAAGGCGAGGCAGGAAAGTCGGGTTTCCCGCAGGATTCCTAGCCAGGCCCCGCGCTCGGTTTCCGCGCAAGTTCAGCGGCTCGACTCTAAATTGCACGGTGACCTGCGCGCCCCTCGGCCCTACCAGGCCCTCGGCTTCATTGCTACCGCATCAGCACCACCCTGGCCTGCCCAGAGCTCCCAGGGGGAAACCTTTGGAACGACACCCACCCCACCCCACCCCCGCCTGTCCCCCAACCCCACGCGCGCGCGCGCACACACACACACACACACACGCCTTCCCCAGGCCCAGGCCTTGTTTTGCCGGCCCCTAGCCCTCTTCCGAGCCCGCAGACTCCCCTCCTCCTTACTCCCCACCCCTCTGAACCGAGAAAGCAGCAGGAAACCCTGGGCTTGCCGGAGTTCAGGTCATCTCCTGTTTTTTGATGGGCTCAAACTCCGACTAAATGAGCGGATGTGCCTGCGAGATTGGTCTCAAAATAGAAGCTGCCTTAGTATTTTAGGATACTGCAGAAATCCTTATTTCTTCCGGAGAAAAACTCTATAATGACTCCTAGCACTTCCCCTTTTAATATTTGTGCAACTTTATCTCCACCGACAAGTTGCTCGGGTGACGCAAATCCGCCCTTGTGTATTGCAACTACCAAAATAAATGCGCGGAAATCAATTCCCTTCTAGCAATGAAAATATAAATATACAGCTGCGACTTTCCCCTTTAATCTTTGCTTTCCGAGCGGCTCCGAGCTGTGGCGAAATGAGCTGGTCCAAGAGCAATTGAGCGAGCCCGGAGGCTCTAGCAGGAGTGAAGAGGGCCTGAGTAAACCCAATGAACTTGAGCTTAAATGTGGCTGCGCTGTCTTCGGAGGAAGCTCATTTGTAAAGATTATTTCGTCTGAGGCTGCATAGCTGCAGCAGCAAATTGCAATCCACAATTAGAGCAAGAGAGAGAGCCCTTTATACTGAAAAGTTAAACAGCTTTTTTTTGGGGGGGGGGATGCCACCATGGCACGGGTTTCTGGTCAATTCTGCTGACTGTCTTTAATGCATATAATTCTCCCTTCTTCATTCCCCGGTAGGCACAGCCAAACTGCCGCACCCCCGGGGAATGTGCAGTGCCATAGAAGGTCCGTTTTATAATGTCACAAAGTGGTTTACTGGGAGTTAGGATTGAAAGAAGGGGCCTAAATCAGAGGTCTATGCATTGATTGAAGCAAGAGACGGGTCCCATCACCATTTGGTGATTTCTGTCTTCAGAGACTCCATACTTAAACTACCAGTGCAAATTCTGGTCCTAACCCCGGGGACACAGATACCACGCCAATGGAGCATAAAAGCTGGATGAGAGTGAATGCTAAGCTTTGCTTATCACAGTCATATAACTCTGCAAGGGCTCAAGCTTTCCACATCTGCTACCTGCTATTGTTTTTCCTTGTAGTCTCTGGGCAAAATATTCTGCAAGGCAGTTGCCCTGTAGACTGGCCTCCTTCCTTCTCTGGAAATATTCCTTCAAACATGGCACCTTCTGGTGTCCAAGAAAGAAATGGAAACAATGACATATTCACAGTGAGAAAAAGAAGGAAACAAAGTATACCCAGCCATCTGAGGCTATAAGAGATGTGCAGCAACGTTGGCATCGGCATATATTCTGCCTGGCATTCTGCAGCGAAAGATTTATGAACTGCTATGCCCAGTGCTTAAATGTAGTGGTAGGTGTGGGACTCCTGTTTCTTGTGGATACTGGATACTACAGTTTAGGACTCTGGAGACCTCCCCCCCCCCCCACACACACACACCCTTTGGATTATTCAAAGTAGGCCACAGCTCCCTTTTCCTGGAGACTTTGGTGTTCCAAAACTATATAGAGTTCCTGAGTTTTTTGAAGATAGACTTAGATACGGGGTAAGAAAGGAAAATAACAATGTGATAAGACCATGGGTCCAAAGTCACTTGGTTTATTCCTTTTCCTCTTTCTGATGGTCCAGTTGTGGCAACCTCACAGGTGACCATCTCTTCAAGTGGCCACAGCCCCGCCCTTGACTTCTGGTCCACAGATCTGGCTTCAGAGCTTCAGCTAACACTTTGGGTCTGGTCCCATTTACCCTCTTTCCCCCCATTACTAGGATATACCAGTTCACATGTGCGGATCACCTCTCTCTCTCTCTCTCTCTCTCTCTCTCAGATGTTCACTAGAGCAGGGTTTTTCTTCTGTTGCAAACAAGCTACTCTTTTTTTTTTTTTTTTTTTTTTGAGAGAGAGAGAGAGAGAAACACTGATTTGCTGTACCACTTATTTGTGTATTCATTCGTTGGTTGATTATGTATGTGCCCTGAGCAGGGATCAAACCTGCAACCTTGGCATATTGGAATGATGCACCAATCCGTGACCCTACCTGGTCAGAGTGCAAACAACTGCCTCTCTCTCTCTCTCTCTCTCTCTCTGAGTTACCTTCTCCATGCCCAGCCAAGAAAGACCTCAGACCTCATAAAACTTAATGGTAGATCCCATTTCAACATGCCACATTGTGACACAGACTCACATATAGTTGCAGTGACATCATGTTCCCATAAGAGTAAAATATGAAAGACCATCTTTAACGCATGAGAGATGCAGTACTTCATTGAACAGCCTTCTATTTGGTAGCTGCACTCACCCACTCCAACATCTTAGCCATTTGCCTTACGAACGCTGGACTTGTTGCCTGAATTATTGAATCTGAAGAGTTGGGCTTTTGCCTCTAGTGAGCAAGTTGAATGTTAAGTTGGGAGACGGAGGTGTAGGTGAAATCATATACTCAAAACAACTCTGGTGTTGAGAGGGAGAGAGGAAAGTCATTCCCAAAGTAATATTTATCTAAACTAATAAACAAAACCT